AAATGAGGCTTCTCAAGCCACCGCAGCTGACTCATCTTTCAACAGCTGCCCGATGTGTAGACATATACACAGACGAGTGTTGCAAGGGCTCGAAAGATTGAAAGCTGAAGCTCGCATGATTGTTTTCCTTTCGGCTTCTGTTTTTTGCATTCTCTCGAATCTGTTTCAGGTCACCGAAACATACTCCAAGACCCTACGTGCCCATCTCTGCCAGAGTCGGCTCTTACTGTTGTCCGGAACCTGGTGACGGGCGTGTCGGAAACCAGTTTCAAAGCCCGGAAATTCGGATCTCGACGCGTAGATAGATGGACTCGTCGGACTTGGCTACGCAAGAGGCCCCTGGCCACTAATTTTTAATAAGGCTTCTCAAGCCACCGCGCGCAGGTCACGCGACATTTTGAGTCTAAGCCACGGACACTCCAAAAATGCGTGTGCCCTTAAGGAGTGACTGAAGTTTCACTGTTGTTGGGCTGCCATCACCCCGCCTGGATTGACTTCACTCCTCTGCCGTGTGCCCCACGGCTTGGGGCGACTTTACACCGGCTTGGGCGATTTAAACGTAGTGTTGGTACCACTACCACTACTTGTAGTACTTCTAATATTAGTAGTACCAACAGTACTATCGTCGGTATTTTTGCTATACAGTAGTTTGTATAGGCCTCGCAAATGCATTATCTGCAGGGTGGGGATGTTCGAAGCAAAACAGTTTAAGTTTTTCGCACTGCTGGCGGAAGTAAGCACATGTTACATGTGTTTGTTTCAAGGAGTTCAAAGAACGGCGCAAACAGCCTCGTCCCAGCTTTCTGCAAGGCGGCTTTTGGGATGACGGAGATCAGCCTGGCGTCGTGCTTTGTGCCAAGCCTCCAGCAGGCTTGCTTGACAAGCTTGCCGACCTCAAGTGCGCCGAGTTCGTCAAAGCGAAGGCGTATCTCGGAGGCGAGGACGTCTCCGACCTTCGCACAATGTCGGCTGGGAAGCTGAAGCCAAGGACAGTGGCAGACCAATCCCGAGCCTGGGATGCGCTTGTGCAGCCTGTCAACGATGCTTCCAGATATGACAAGGACGCATCGCATGCCGGCGATGTGGGCCGACTGATCGCAGTAGCGCTCGCGACGAGCGGCGTTGCAGCTTCCTTCGTTGAGAACCCTTGGTTTAAGAAGGCGATCGAGAAGCTGCAAACTGGTCTCGTGGGCCAGTCTCCGTTCAAGCTCCCGGGCAGAAAAGACATCGCGCGGATGCAGTCCTTCGAATCGCAGGCAGCGCAGAAGCAGATCAGGTCCTGGGTGGCAGCGGTGGAGCACGTGACACTGGCTGTAGACGGGCGTCGCATGTCCGAGGGACGAGACAAGGAGAGCATGCTGAACACGGCAGCTTCTCGATGTAGCTGGATTTCGCGAGCGAGTGTTGTGCAGTTGTGTCTGTTTGGTCAGGTCAAGACTTGCTCCGTCTGTACGTTTTGAGTCCTCGAAACATCCCTAAAACAACTGCACTTGATCTCAAGTGGAAGGGAAGCCAGTCTTGGTCTGTCATTGGAATGCGTGTTGAAGTCAGAGGACATCATCTCTGAAATCGGGGGTGCCAAACAACACAAGACAGTAAGACTGAGCAGTTTGGTCAGTAAATGCAGCGACATGAAATGGCATTCGGAATAGCAGTTCTAGGGCTCCCAAAGTCTTGCTCACATGCAGAACAGCTATCGGAAATATCTGTCGGAACATTCCACAACCATGAAAAAGCCCGCAACGTGCAGATGAGTCGTCCCTTAGAGTTTAAGGCATCCAAAACTGAACCATAATGGTGCTTCCGCCACGCTTGCACAAAATCGGGGGTTCATTGAAACTTTCACTGCGTTTTACAGGTCTGAAATCCCATATTGCAACGCGCCTAGGCGGTAAAGCGCGCAAATGCAGAGGGGAACCTTCATACACCCGTGTTGTTCCAGTGTTTGGGTAGTCCGAAACTCGAGCACGCAGCCACAGAACACGCACACACGGCCTCCTTAAGAGTATCGCTCTTCTGCCCTGGCGATTCTGGCCAAAGCCTGGAATACTGTTCTGAGGTGTGCGTTAAACTTCGTGTTACAGCGTTATATGTGCTCGTGTAGCCTGGCTTTCATGTCAGGTTGTTGCTGCTGGCGCAGAGCATTTCCTGCGCTCTGAAGACATGTCGGCGGTGGTCAAAGATGCTGACCATGTCGCAGAGTATGTTGAGGCGATTTTTGCCGAGGTCGAAAGCCCCCTGGCCGTTCACCCGTCACCCTCCATATCCACGCGGCACGTGGCTGCTGTCTGCATGGATTCGCCGAATGTGAACAAGGCCGCCCTGAAAAAACTGCAGGATAAGTATGCCAAGATCGCCTTCTTGCCATGTGCCTTTCATGCCATCGACGGCCTCTTTGGGAAGATGGTCAAGGACATCACCGTGCTGTCTCATGCCTGCCGCGTTGCCCGGCGTGTGACTAGGTTTGTCAGCAACAAGTCCCGTGTGCGTGCTGCGGTTCGCAAGTTGGCAGTGAAGCATGCCGTGCGCAAGACCCGACAAGCTGGCAGAAAGATTCATGCCGTCTTCTACACCAAGGTTCGCAAGACACGGGAGTTCCCACAATACTTACAGGTGAAACGCGCCTATCAGCTCAATTTCCCTGCCTACAAGTACTTTCAGCGTGAAGGCAAGGAAATCTGTCGCCAGATGAAGCGCTGGGAAGAGGTGCAGGCCGCCACGGTCACTCAGAGAAATGCATTCGTTGCGGTCGCAAAGTTTTTCTTGGCGATCATGCGGCCCGTCATTCAGAAGCTCCGCGTGGTGGACTCCACAAAGGTCAACTGCATGCCGCAGCTCATTGTCCACTTGTGCGACTTGCGGCAGACCCTGCACGACAAGTTCGTGGAGCTCGGCTACGCATACAGACTCATTCGCGCCCGCGATGGTGTCGACGTGGAGAAGGCTCGTCCTTCCTGCCCAAAACGCAACCGTCAAGCTATGTTTCAACACATTCAAAGATACGGGCAGCAATGCTGCGCAGGTAATGGAGCCCTGAGTTACGCACCGTGCAATGTAAATCCGACTGAATGCCAGCATGCTGAATCAAGCTTTCAGGTGTTTGAAACATGATGACACAGTGCATCTCCTGCCCAGGAGATTCAGACAGACTTGAAGCGCATCCACAACATTTGCAACGAAGTCATGCGCCCCTTGACGACACGCTGGCATCGAGCTGCCATGCTTGCGGATCCTCACCATGTCGAGGAGTATGCCAAGGAGAAAGAAGCTCGGGGATGCCTGCAGCTCGAGGCCGGCCAGTGCGTCACATACTTTTAGACTTTTAGGGGTCTGGAACATTTATAAAGGACGATATCCGGCACTGAATCCTGTTATGACCTTCTGCAGCCGTCTTGGACCTCGGACACCCTTGGAAAGCGCTCTTCTGCTCACTCGTGCCATGCCGACCAATAAGCGACCGGCTGCAGCTGTCTCTGCGCAGGAGTCTTGTCCACGAAATCTACTTCTGACCGTCTCAAACCTGTAAACGAGTGGTAAATGTTCGTCTCTCTCCTACTGGCAGTGTTTGAGCAAGATTTTCAACCAAGCTTGAACCTTTGGGCGGTTTGGACCTCCTGAAACTTGATTCCGAACGCTTGAAAAAAGATCAGCGGTCTAAATCGATGCAGAGGTTGGCCCGGATAAAGTTCCAGTTTCAGCACCCTCAAAATCAATATTCTTGGGGAGTAGTCTAACACGCCAAACCCCAGAAGCCTCAAGTCTCAACCCTAAACCCTTCGCCCGCCACGTCAGGTTCAGGTCAGCGGGGGAGGCGCCGTGCCTGCCCCCGCTGTCGTTTTGCGTTCGCGTCCCTAAGACCCTAATGCCCAGCCCAGCCAGTGATTATTTTTTTCGGAGAAGGCTGGTGAGTAGAAGACACCAAGTCCTAAGTTCCAGGACAGGGTGTCGCCGAAGACTCCGAAGCCGAGCCAGGCCAAGGCCAAGGCCGATCGTTCTTGTCTGCGGAATCAACTTCTGACCGTCTCAAACCTGTAGACAGGTGGTAAATGTTTGTATTTCTCATGCTGCCACTTTTGCACTGTCTGAGCGTGATAGAAGCTGCCTCGGATAAAGGAATAAGAGTCCGCCGTTTTAGGACGAGATGAAAGTTTCAGCACCCTGAAAAGCAGTATTCAGACAGCGCTGTGGGGTCTACTCCAAAACACAAAAGCCTAGAAGCCTTAAACCCTTCACCCGCCACGTCGCCTGGCCTGCCCCCGCTGTCGTTTTGCGTTCGCGTCCCTAAGACCCGATAATGCCCACCGTTCTGGAGGCCTCGAAGAAAGCTATTGAGCTTGTATATGCATTGCGGAGACCGGTGTGTGTGTGTTTTTATTCGGAGCCCTAAACCCAAAACACTCGGAACTTCCAGCTGATGCTCTTGAATACTCTTTTTAAATCCCAACAGGCGTGGCCGCGCAAGGGCTATCGCCAGGGCGCCGTCGCAAAGAAGGAGATCCGGAAATGGCAAGGCAAAACTTCGCAGTGCCTGCCAAAGAAGCACTTTGCCGAGTGCGCGCAAGCGGCGCTGTCGGATGTCCTTGAGCAGCGCAATTACGAGTGGAGCGACATGAAGCTTACCAAGCAAGCCGTAGACGTTCTGCAGGTAGGGTTTGAAAGTACCATAGTGGAAATTTTAACAGCAGCGGAAAAGTTGGCAGCCCACAGACAGTGGAAGACTGTGCAAGGCCAAGACTTGCTGCTCTTGAGGCATCTGATGTTTGGCATTTCGCATCAAACGCTCACTTTGCTGAATGATCCCAAAGACACGAAACATGTTATCAAACTGGTCAAGGCCAGGTTTTATCGTGCAAGGGAAATGCGAGCCCCGTCTAGTCGTCGGAGAGCAATTTTGCGCAGATCCTTTTTGTTGGGCGTGACGAAGGTTCCCAAAAAGAAGAACCTTCCGACAGACCCGCCGGCCGGGTGTACGAGCCGCAAGATCCGTGAAGCCGCGCGCGTGGAGCGAACGGAAACACTCCACTGAGCGAGCAGAGAGCAGTCGAGCTTTGTTGCGCGCTACTTCGCTCTTGCAGTTCCGGAGACCTGTTTTGCAGTTTAGGACCTCTGAAACAAGGGTTTGCGCAGCGAGTCTCGAGGGCTCTCTTCTGGCTCCTTTTGGGCTTAACGGTGGCTCGAAAGCAAGGCCCAAGGCTGCTTTTGGACCCCTGAAACTGGAGACCTGCACTAGAGCAACACAATACAGAGCAAAAGTAGGGTGCCACCTCGCTCTTGCAGTTCCGGAGACCTGTTTTGTAGTTTAGGCGCTCTGAAACAAGGGCGGACGTAGCTGTCTTCTGGCTCTCTTTGGGCCTCTCGAGGGCTCCCCGAAAGCAAGGCCCAAGGCTCCTTCTGGACCCCTGAAACTCGAGAACTGTACTAGAGAGCAACAGAATACTGAGCAAAAGTAGGGCTTGTCGTTGAAGTAGCTATGCGACAAATGTTTATACATTTCAAACGACACCATAATTTGCTTTTGGCGTTTCTTGTTTCAGGTTTCCGTTAGCCGAGAGCAGTCGAGCCTTGTTGTGCGCCACCTCGCTCTTGCAGTTCCGGAGACCTGTTTGTAGTTTAGGACCTCTGAAACAAGGGTGCGCGCAGCTGGTCTCGGGAACAGCGGTGTGCGGACGGAGCTGTCTTCTGGCTCCTTTTGGGCCTAACGGTGACTCCCCGAAAGCAAGGCCCAAGGCTCCTTCTGGACCCATGAAACTCGAGCAGTGTGCTAGAGAGCAACAGAATACTGAGCAACAATAGGGCTTGTCGTTGAAGTAGTTATGCGACAAATGTTTAGTTTTCTGGGTACACCATAATTGGTTCTGTGGGCGTTTCTTGCTTCAGGTTTCCGTTGGCCGAGAGCAGTCGAGCTTTGTTGTGTGCCACCTCGCTCTTGCAGTTCCGGAGACCTGTTTTGCAGTTTAGGGCCTTGGAACAAGGGCGGACGGAGCTGTCTTCTGTCTCTTTTTCCGCTTAACGCTGGCTCCCCGAAAGCAAGGCCCAAGGCTCCTTCTGGACCCATGAAACTCGAGCAGTGTGCTAGAGAGCAACAGAATACTGAGCCAAAGTAGGGCTTGCCGTTGAAGTAGCTATGCGACAAATGTTTAGTTTTCTGGGGACACCATAATTAGGTTTTGTGGGTTTCTTGCTTCAGGTTTCCGTTAGCAGAGAGCAGTCGAGCTTTGTTGTAGAAACCCTGGAAACCTTAAACCTTACATCCTAAGCCGCTAAGCCTTAGAAACCCTTTACAAGCCCTGGAAACCCTAAACCCTACATCCTAAGCCTTAGAAGCCCTTGAGAAGCCCTGGGCACCCTAAGCCTTAGAAGCCCTTGAGAAGCCCTGGAAACCCTAAACCCTACATCCTAAGCCTTAGAAGCCCTTTCGAAGCCCTCGAAACCCTAAGCCTCTCATCCTATCCCTTAGAAGCCCTTGAGAAGCCCTGGACACCCTACATCCTTAGCCTTAGAAGCCCTGGAAACCCTAAACCCTACATCCTAAGCCTTTGAAGCTCTGTAAAAGCCCTGGAAACCCTAAACCTTATACATCCTAAGCCTTAGAAGCCCTTTAGAAGCCCTGGAAATCCTAAACCCTACATCCTAAGCCTTAGAAGCGAAACTTTAATGTGCCACCTCGTTCTTCTAGTCCGGAGCCTTGTCTTGCAGTTTAGACAGCGGGTCTTTGGAACAGTTGTGGGCAGACGGAGTTGTCTTCTGGACGGCCGGACGTAGGACGCACTGCTTGCGAGCGGCTTGCAAAAAGGAGTACTTTAAACTTAAACCCCGTGAACTTTGAATCCATGTCAACCCTAATGATATTAAGCAAGCAAGATCATGAGCCTGCGAAGGGCGCCTTCCCTAAATTTGTATTGCTAGTGTGCCTTGCATGACTGGGCCTTGCATATGCTAGAATATCGTGATATCCTGCCTTCCTGGCACTTCTCTTGGCCAAGTGTGGGCACCCGTCAGACCTTTGACAGTCAGTTCAAGCACCCTTCAACCTACAGACAAGCCCCCTGTAGTGTTCTGTCCCTGGCAAGGCATCTTGGGACGTGACGAAGTGCATGCCCTCAGGCCTCACCGATCCCAAGTTTTGGCGAACCATGATCTGGTTCGGAGAGCGCGCGATGTTGGAACTCATCCCTATCTATTTCGCTGACAAGAAACAGCAGAAGAACTGCAGATCGCAGCTGCATCAGTACCTTTCGCGAACTGGAGTCTTTGATTCCAGAAAGGCCGGGGCATGGTGGGACGACAGCAGCTTTGCCCAAGCCACAAATGCTGCCAAGATCCGACCGATTCCTTTGTCCCAGTTGTGGGCTTCCGAGGAGATCTATGCCCCGGAGCTGAAGCACATCATGCAGCGCTTGCTAGGTGCGCTTTTGTGCAAGCTTTCAATGTTTCAGATAACCCTAAAGTGGTTGACGCAATAAGACACTTGATCAAAGCTTTGTGCAGCGTTCAAGGCTTTCCCACAAGTCAAAATCAACATGAAGCAAGGTTTTAGAGTGTCCAAACGTCCTTTGGAGCGCTGTGACGCCCTGTAGAACCTGCTAGCTTGCACTTGCCAATCGTCATAATTCGAAGGCCCGCTCAAAGGTGTAGGCCGGTTTGCGGTTTTGAACCTCTAAAACCTTCTGCTGGCTCCTCCATCCAAACTGAAGCTTTTGAAAGTAGACCGGGTCAGGCATGTATTGCTCGCAATCCGCGTCCGAGCGCGTGAACGGCTTGATCAAATTTGTTACAGGCGACCCGTTGAGAAACAACTTGAAGTATGACACACGATGCAATTTGGTCACCGTCGCGAGCAAGTACAAGGCCATGCAAGGAGCTTCTGGCAAGGAGCTTTGCGCGTTCTGATGTTGCAATCGTTTCAAACCCATGATCAACCAGACCTAAGCATAAGGAAACAGTCTCGCTGATAGGAGAAGGAGAAGGACTCGCAGAGGGACGGGTTCTGGCAGGAGGATTGGAACATGGAAGCCGACTCGGACGCAGAAATGTGGTCGGATGAAGAGGAAGAGGCGGCACCAGCTGCTGGGCTAGACTTCGCAGCGGAAGAGCCGGACTCCGATGATCAGGAGCTCAGTGATGACGGCGGTGCAAATTCCTCGTCGGAGACGTCTGAGAGTACTTCCAGCGATTCCGAATGAGGTTTTAAGGTCTGTCATTTCCTGTTTCGGGTGTCCGAAACTCATCCCGATGATGCATTTCGATCTTCCGGCAGAGCTCAGGTTTCTTGTTGTAAAAAGATATGTCAC